AAATCGCTAAATATAGCAGATAAAGGGCTTGCATACAATAAAGGGCTTTCAACAGCCTTAGATTAGCCACCGCCGGGATGGACATGTGCTGAAAGCTTCCGGTGTTTATACTACTAGATGACGGAGTAGGATGCACAGAACAGAAATGGTAACAGCTAACAACCTCTTCTTGAAGCAACTCTTCCATGCGATTTGAAAAGGTTACGAGGAGTCATTGTATCTGAAGACTCGGTAGGTACGTCTGTCCCTTTAATCCAAGAGAAAGCCAGAGACTTGTTCAATGTTTCTTGTACAGACCGCGTGCTTAGAAACCAGCACACTGGGTACGATGCTTACATGGAGTAATGTGTATCCGACCTTGAAATCGATCAATAAAGGAAGCCTGCCCTGAGGCAAACAGATCCTGGAGACCTTCTTTGATATTCCCATTGATAGTATGCAGCGCGACATCTGTACCCCAGGAAATCTCATCGTTTGTTCGAAATGTCCAATCCCACCCATCAGAAGCTCGCAGTGATACCCAAAGCTGTAGATGTCATCCAAAATGGCTGACTTAGTGAGACGCCAAAGAAAGGCCCGGAACGGCCCGTTTCTAGAGGTATCACGATGCCCGCCTTTCAAATGGCACATTGAATGATTTTCGGACACTAGTTTATCTATATGATGCCCTCGTTGATACATTGCATAAAATACTACAACGGAGATACCGAAACCTTCGTCGTGCTGCAGGAACTGGCAGCCTCCTGTGCATTCAGCAGAAGTATTATGTGGCTACGACTCAGAGCCCTCAACCGAGAAAGAGTAGGGACTCAGGAAGCATGCCCGGACTACTCACGCAGGCTTCACAGTCTACGGGTGATTTCTTGCATTCGAGATAGAAAAGAGAAGATTGCTGGAAAGCAAAAAAGATAGAAGAAGGGAAAATGGAGGCAAAAAAAAGAAGAATCGTCAGCGAGAGGATTCGAACCTCTGCCCGCGAACGGAATTGATTTCTAGCTATAATGATTGTTAGTAGATGATTCGATAAGTTGTTCTAGATAAGGAGAAACATACTCAATCGCCTTAACCACTCGGCCACACTGACGGTAGATACCGGTTGGCGGCCGGTTGACGACTTGCGAGCAGATGGTGAGAACTCAGGTCATAGGCCATGTAGATTCGTGTTGCGGAGGCGGGCGGTTTGACTGATTTCACATTTCACAATGTCAAGCTCCTCTGTGGGGATTGCTCGGGTATCTTCTGCTATAATATGCAACTTGCGGCGCAGAAGTATCTTGTAGGATTCTGTCTGTGAAGATAAGACCTGAGGGAATCAAAGTTTGAAATGTCAGGCCCCGTGCGGTTTCTCGAAGCGCTCCAGCATGCCAACGACGAACAAGTCTAAACAAGGTGGTTGATATTGGAAAACTTGTGTCTATGTCTAATTGGAACATCTTAGACTCTCAAGCCAGTGAGCATGGGTGTCGCTAATTGAATTGATAGTTTGCATGAACTGTGTAATGCTATGACGGCTGATCACGTCAACCTATCGCGGCAAAGCATTGAGTCCTTTGGCATAACCTTTACGCAGAAGAAATTCCTGTGAAAAAGGGAGAGTTCCATTTCAATTTTGTCTTGGTATATAATCATCGTTTCTGCTCGATCCTTGGAGTCGAGGATATAATATATCTCATACTTGGTCCGTTGGGTGCATATAGTCCACGCCGCGGGTATATTTGGAATTTAAGGTTCATAGGTGTCTTCAAGATGTATACGTTTACCCATCATGTTATCGCCATTGCAGACTCTTCTTCAGGTCGACCGTTGTTATCAGGTTGATCGTTGTCTATTCATTCCCTGGCCGGTGTTAAATCCGGCTAGGAGGGTCTTTACTGCCTTCTGCAGGAGTGACTGCCTTGCCGATATAGTTTGACGATGCAGGCATTACCGTCTATGGTATTTAGTTGCTAGTAATATGAGAATCAATGACCAGGCGCTTGTAGGGTGGCATCCTGTCTCCGCTAGCGATTGAGAGGTGTTCTAGGTGTATAGCCAAGCACGTACCGAGACGTATTACAAACGCCATATCAAGTTTTATCACAGGGCGCTGTCGCTTTGTTGAATTGACCCTGCTGATTTGGATATACTTAAATGAGCATAATGTCCTGATAAGCCATTAAGGTGACTGGCGTTTCATTATGTCTCGCACTACTGATACCCTTCCTGTATACATTGGCCCGGGTACCATGTACATTAAATGGGTAGGTGGTAACACGTCCAATGCTAGTATATGGGACTACTACTGGTGCTCGCCAGTCATCCTTTTCTTTTCTTTTCTTCCCGGTGTTAGGACGATTGTTGGCGTATTCAGCTTCTAGGGATAGGAGCTCAAAGCAGCGAAACGATTAGAATGACTGAACTACGTTGAAAACTAGAACTATCCAGAAGATCTGAGGTATTACACCAAGAAGCCTAGGCAAAACATCTCAAACATAGAGATATAGCTAATTAGCAGAACAACAAAAAAGAATCATTATGGCTTGACTAAAAACACACCTCAAGCCCATAATAAGGGTTTTCAACTTCCTCAATAGGCTACATACATCCTCTTAGAACCCGGTAGCGCATCTGCACTCTTTACACAAACCCAAACAAATCTTTTTATAGAACTAGGCATAATGCCTCGATAAACAACAGAAGGCGCATTTTCGATGGCTTCAGCAGACAAATGCAAAAACAACCATTGCTGGCGAAATCTCTCAGGTCTTAGATCTGAATAGAGATCCCATTTCTTCTGGCTTCTTATACCACAGTAGGAACGGGGCGGGCTACTATGTTGGCGCTAGCCCTGGCCCTAAAATGCTTGCCTTTGCACACTTTATTGATCCTAGCATCTGATGAAACAGAATTCTTACAAAACATTCATTTTCCCTACTCCACCATTCTGGTAGCGAAGTCTTTGTACATAAGGTCTTTCTCATTGAGAATAAGCGGGATAAGAAAACCTCATAACAAACCATCGAGGTTGGAAGTAGTAAGTCGATGTAGAACCATTTAAGAGACTGTTCTTTGGGCTATAGGCGAGACTTAATCCGACGATTATTATTCTCTATCTTAGAGATATACTGCTCAATATTATCGCTGTGGCTGTAGAAAGCAGAAAATTTAGATCAAATGCCTTCAATAGAACGGGTTCTATTGGCACCACCGTATTCCAGCTGTTAATGGTTCCAGAAATCCCTAATATTCTGGAAGGCAGGCAGGCTCCGAATGATTTGTAGAAACGTTATATGAGAAACTTAAATTCGACATATGGCCTAGCCCCGGAGGTATTCGATGTACATCCCACTCATTCATAACAGAATCCGCTAGAAACAGTCGAAAAATAGAAAGTACTTTCCCATACACACGACTTGATAGGTTCCGGGTCCTTCCGATGAAATACCAACCGTATGTGTTGGTTGCTCCTGGGATGCTTTAGTAACTGACGATTTTATCGCGAGTCAGTGTGGCCGAGTGGTTAAGGCGATTGAGTACGTTTCTCCTTATCTAGAACAACTTATCGAATCATCTACTAACATCACTATAGCTAGAAATCAATTCCGTTCGCGGGCAGAGGTTCGAATCCTCTCGCTGACGATTCTCTTTTTGTCTGCTATCTTTTGTCCCAGCCTTATCAACTTCATGCAACTGACCCTTGCCATATGAAAGAGACACCAATTGGAATCGTGGCTCTTGGTACCGAGTAGACAGTCTTGCAATAGATCTACTTGTCAGGGTAAAGCCTTGTCGATCAGGTAGGGAAAGCCCGATGGAAATTAGAACAGTAGGCCAAATATGGGTCTAAATACTACGAAGCTATAATTGTGAAGAACTGTTTTTGAAGGATTTAGTGAACAGGCTTTTTTATCCCATTTCTTTACAATAGGCTAACGGTGGGCCTTCGGCGGTGATAATACAGTTGTGAGGTCATTGACTTCTGGCTCGAGCTGATTCTATATCGGGATCAAGACTCTTCGGGATCGAATCCTTGACAATTCTATATGGAATGTGCCATACATTCATTCAGGTTCCTACTCAATCTTTGATTTGTTTTGGGAATATAAAACAAATATCCTTGTGTATGAGAAGCATAAAATAATTGATTAATCATTATTCTTAACGGAACAATATTCAGTATGCTGAAGGTAGCGTTCTATCACCAAGGAGGCTTCTTCCATTGCGGTGCGGTTGGAGAGGTCCATAGTACATCATCAGGACCGGCAGCTACACTTAAATCTATATTACACATGATTATTCTATCACTGTCAGTGTGGCCGAGTGGTTAAGGCGATTGAGTATGTTTCTCTCCACCTCGTAATCGTCAACGATTCAAATACTAACAATCCTCAAAGCTAGAAATCAATTCCGTTCGCGGGCAGAGGTTCGAATCCTCTCGCTGACGATTCTTTTTTTTTCACTGTTTTTATTTTTTCTATTTTTCAAATACTTTTGTATGTATGAACTGATATCGAGGGCATCGCCGTTGTTTAAACAGGGAGCAGGGACATGACTTACTACTATACAACATCTCGGACAAAGGTTAAGCTCAAGGTAGTTCTCCAGCCCATTAAACAGACGCTCACATCCTCTCGTCTTTCTCACACTCATGGTCACCATATTCCTTCACTGGTTTGCTTGAAGCTTTTCCACACTCTCAAACACACCACACCCGGCATTGTTGATTATTTAGCTTCTTCCAGCGTCGTCTTCAGCGTCATCTACTCCTGTTTGCACCACTCCAAGAGCAGGCTCTACCAGAGGTCCCTTATCTGCGCCCTTATTCTTGTTTCGTGACCGATTCTGATTCTCCACGACCGAACCCTCCCGCCCTATTCCTACTTTGTGCTCGCATAGTACTGCTAGTCGTTAACCCGCTAGTACTATCAACACTTCCTGTTGGGTCAGGCTCCCCGAGTCGGGCACTTAGACTTAGCGCTCTGTCTATTTCTTCTGCCTTCGCGCGTTCATGTAGATAGTTCCTTTCCTTCCCCAGCGAGCAGCGAGCAATCAATCTTTACAGTCTCGTCACTTTCCTGTCTATGTTAGAAATCACGCCGTGTCTCAATATGCCGTCGTTCCTACCAAGTAATTTCATGCTTTGCAACAGGTGTGGATTCAGTGGCCATTTTGCTCGTGACTGCCATAAGCATTGCAGATGGTGCCATGATCTTATGAGACCTAACCACTATGTCATTTGCAAACAGGCACTAATTTTATGAAAGTGCCAACTTGCTTCAACTGTGCTCAGGGGGTTCATTGTAGACAAGATTGTCCTCAGAGCAAGCATATGCTTTCCGGCCAAGCTGGAGAACCCCCATCATCAAGGACCGAACAGACACAATCCTGTTCTAGACCATCCGCTCAGGCCCCACCGCAGGTAAGACAGCCATGTCTAATAATGTCTGGGTTCTTACGTCTAACTTGTAGCCCCTTAGGTGCAACCTGAGATCGAGATACTGGAACTTCACCGAATAATTATGTCGCTGATTTAGAAACTGTACAGAGGAGAGATTAAAAAACTCTCTAATTGAGTCTATTCTCTACAAGTCAGTGGTTGATGCTGTGGGGGCGAAAAAGAATTTACTCAAATGGGGCTTAATACAGTTGACCCTCATGTTCTTGTCCTTCAAGGCAAACTGATAACCGTGGAGAGGTAAGTCATATGGACCTTCTTCAATATGGGACAGAGGAATTTGATATGTCACAGACTGGATAGCATCTAAGCATTCCAGTCTTGAGAGTTTGGCCCTTGGCCTCATTCCCATGGCAATTACTGTGACTATATTACCAATGTGAGTGACAAGGAGTACTGGCGTAGCTATATCAGACAGGCTTTAGTCTTGGCAGATCGAATTCCCCAGCAATGCCGTGAGATACGAAGTGGAAGGAGTGATGCTCTGCACTACCACATTGTTACCAAAGAGTCCGCGGCAGGTTATCGCCATGGCAACTTCATTCGACTTTGGATCATCGAATTCCCCGGCGGTACCAACAGTTTGGCAAGGAGCCGTCGAAAAAATATAAGAAATGCCTTTCACTCGTGCCTTTTAAACACTTGGCCCCTCTCTCTAGGAGAAGTACTTTGGTCCCTGCCCAGAGACGCGTATTCAAGTGTCGATCTCAATGTCGTTCCCCCGCTCATGCAGGGTAGGGAACTTGCACCAACAATCCGTGGAACGATTTAAAAGCTCCTAGAGAGATTTCGACCCTGAAATCAGCGAGTGGCCAAAATTTCGAGCACAGCAGAAACATCAACCCGAAGCCTCAGAGAGCGACTTGCTCGCAGTCCAAAGACATCCAAAATTGACTCCTAAAGAAAACATCGAGGCTCTTCACGATGCCACCCAGATAATGAAAGAACTTGTAGACATACCTTTGTAGTTGACAAAGGAGAAGATTCCGTGGGCGCCTCTTGACACTGAACGAGAGCCGGTGAATGCTAAGGTTTGGGTTGAGGGAGTATCAAGTTGGCTTCTGGAAGACAGTTGCTACGCTACAAGCGACCTAGCAAGCCCGGTAGGTACTACGGCAGCATCTGTTGGTATCGTGCTAGACAGCGTTCCGTGTCATGACTACGGCGACGTGTCTCTCCCATGGGGATTAAGAGAAAGCTGCTACACAGACACGAATTCTCTAATATGGGGTCGCCAATTTCCAAAAATACAGACTCATCCCTGGTACATTCTAGGTGAGCCCACTGGATGATGCCCACACGGAATTCCTTTCAACGCACGCCCAAGACTTGGTGGAGAAAAGCCCCTACGGGTCATTCTGCTTTGTGGCACAGTGGCGAAAAGGTGGCGCTTACTGACGAAGACCTGACCCAAACCCTTACTTTGAAATTCCAAGGCGTCGATTACCAAGTCTGGATAAGGCTCAAGAACCATGCTATTGAACGCATTTTTGTGAGGCCTCCCGCTCCTCTCTTTTACGGGAGACCTTCTCTCTTTAAGCTATGGTCAAACAAAGGCCCAGCAGCTGTGAAGATCGGTGCCTTGTTCAGGATCGTTGCAGTAGTCACGAATATCAAGCTCTGTCCAGCATCCTACCAAAGTGCACTCACGATAGTCACGGTCATCCGCGGGTGGGATGACGAAAGATCCTAAAAATCGAACCATTAACGCTAGAGTTGGAAAGGTTTAATCCAATCTTGAGGATACGGCTGGAAAATCTGGGGTTCAAGAAAGACGATGATATTCCTCATCTTGCGGGGTGCGCCATAGGGCCATTGAGGTTCGCGTTGCTTGTCCTTACGAGATTCCTGCCAAGACTACTATGGCCAGGTAGCAGACAAATTCCTCGGTCCCAAACAAGCCGACGTGGTGTGGTTTCCCTGGAGGTTATTGAGGAAGTTCAACTCTTGCTCAAAGAAAAGTTCAGGGCAGAGCCATCCAACTACCCAAGGCTGAGGACGCGGGCCTCATAGATGGAGATGTCTTGTTTGAAGCAGTTGACCATGGCAGCGCCATCATGGCAGAATTTGGCACGAAGGAGGAGCAGGGGATGATTGATTCGCTATGCAACAATGCACACAAGACAACCCAGGTGAACCGATTGGTGAACCGATTGGCTTACCAAAAACACCTCAAACTTCTCGTGGGGTACCATTACCAGGGACACGAAAAGAACAATGGGAATACAGTACCTACCAGTTCAATGTTCAACACGCGGTTTTTCGAATCCACAAGGCGCCTCCGAATTGTAATTGGTTCTTTGTGAAAGCTGAGTAGCACCAGCGGGTGAAAGGCAGTCCAACGCTTATGCCACGAGCGCCTCAAACAATGAACCAGGAATGCAGTTTGCCCCTTGATTCTCCCTGCGAGACGATAGTGTGGAGGGCTCGTTTGTGCAGTACGCGAGCAGCCCTAAGTGGCAAGCAACCGCGGTCGTGAACTCCCTTTGTTGATGGGCTAGCTGGTGACTCCCCTGAAGAGATCTGTCGCCGACAAAGACGATTTGTTTTCATCAACAAATGCCTCAAGAACGTACCACCCGATTTAGAACCATTCATAAAAGCGGCTTACCAGGACGATGACGATACTGTGGCGGTATTCAAGGGTGGTTCCCAGAAGGTGCCAAAGACACATGGACAATGGGCCTTTCGGGGACCCTCTGGCCGTTGTATATAGACAGGTGCTCTATATTTGGGGTCAGCTGTGGAAGGTCATAGATCCGCAATCCTCATCGCTCGAACTGTATGCTGCCAGGTTATTCATTTTTGTCACTAAGAGTGACGATCAATCTCATCTCGCACTTGGCCGGGATTCGATCTTCCAAGCGCGAATATTAGAAAGAGAAAGGAGTACGTCGGAGACGAGTAGCATAGGTCCCTTGAACTTCCTGAGTAGGTAAAATACTACAACCTGCTGAATATGGAATGGTAAATGTAGGTTATTGGTCAGTTGCTAGAAAAGAGTAAGTATTCGCGATATTAGATGGGTAACAATAATTTTAACTCATATATCAAAATTTTTAAATAATTTTTCAACTTTTGTCAGTGTGGCCGAGTGGTTAAGGCGATTGAGTACGTTTGTCTACCGTTAATTTACACTTTTCAAATCTCTTACTAACTATCCCTACAGCTAGAAATCAATTCCGTTCGCGGGCAGAGGTTCGAATCCTCTCGCTGACGATTCTCTTTTTCCTTTCCCTTTTTCTTTTTGCACACATTTATCTTAATGTACGGAGCACGCGCCCATACCCGTAGTATACTGAATCGCATAGAGCACTAATCCGATCGGGATACACCCGCGTGCAAATACCACGATTTTGTGACCCAAAAGCCACGCACCCTCGTGTCCTTTCCAACCAGTACTAATGTACTTTAACTCTTGCATCTCCCGGACTTAGTCGCCAACTTCCCGCAGTGCACGCAGCTTGCACCGCCCTTCTCAATTGTAATTTTAATATCTCATTTCTAGATTTCTCCCTTTCATGTGAGGGTAAACTGGCGGATGGTCAGATATCAAAACCACAGCATGTACACTGCGTGTAATCTGGAAAGCTAATGGAATGTCTACTACGACGACGACCTCCGGCCACATGCCCTCCAACGGAGGGGCGGATCTCGATCCTCTCGACGCAGGTGAGAATAACTCTCTGGCGAACAATACCGACCGTCTGCCCCTGCTACAGAGATTGATGATAGAATAGCGGACTACGATCCAATCGACCATTTAAATGCCATCTTTTCCCACCCCTCCACGCTGTCCTCCGTTTCCCAGGTCTCCCAAACCCTCCTAGACTACGAAGATGAGCTCGATGATGAAATCGGCGCACTGGTGGAAGAACAGGTCACATCAAATGCCGACAGTGTTGAGCGCATACAAGCTGCCCAGGCGGATCTGACCGAGTTGTTCAAGAAGATCGACGATGTGCGCGACCGCGCGTCCAAGACGGAGCTGGCGATTACGGAAATGACGGCGGATATCAAACAGCTGGACAATGCGAAGAAGAATCTCACGCAATCTATGACGGTGCTGAAGAGGCTGCAGATGCTGACGACAGCATACGACCAACTCCGTGCCCTCAGTAAGACGCGGCAGTACCGGGATTGTGCCCAGTTGCTACAGGCGGTTATTCAATTGATGGCGCACTTCAAATCGTACCGCTCTATCGACCAGATCGCTCTTCTGAGTAGGAATGTGGCAGATATACAACGAGAGTTATTAGAGCAGGTCTGTGAAGATTTTGAGTTGGCGTTCGCCAAGGGTGAGCTGGGACAGAAGCGGGTCATGCTTTCGGAGGGCTGTCTCGTGATGGATGCTCTGGGTGAACATGCGAAGTCTAGGCTGGTGACCTGGTATTGCAATTTTCAGCTACGGGAGTACCGACAGGTGTTTAGGAATAACGAGGAGGCCGGGTCGTTGGACAACATTTCGCGGAGATATTCGTGGTTCCGTCGTATATTGAAGATCTACGATGAGGACTATGCCGCGATATGGCCGACTTCTTGGAGAGTCGATGAAATTCTAGCGAACGTCTTCTGTGAGGGTACCCGAGAGGATTTCAAGGGGATTCTCTCCCGGTCAATGCGAAATGGACAGACGATCAACGTCAACTTATTACTCTCGTGCTTGCAAGAAACCCTCGATTTCGAACATTCCTTGGAGCGACGGTTTGTTAATTCATCCCGTCCATCCACCGACACGTTTACCTCGTCCGAGGCACCGGTCTTTGGTCAAGCCATTTCAGAAGCTTTTGAGCCTTATCTTAGTGTATGGGTTGAAGCTCAAGATAAGCAGCTAGCGACACTTATACCGAAATATCGGCAGCAGCCTATCAGGCCGCCGGATGAGGAGTTTGATTCCAACATTGTTATAGCTTCATCTACGGAGCTTTTCACTTTCTACAGGCTTTCTTTACAGCAATGCGCAAAACTCTCCACAGGCGGCAGCCTTGCCGACTTGGCAAAGGTCTTTGCAAAGTACCTGGATCAATATGCACAGCAGGTGCTTCTATATTATATCAGTGAAAGGCCCACCGGCAATACTCCATCCAGAATGCCATCTCTAGAAGACCTTATCTCAGTTCTTAACACTGCAGACTACTGTTATACCACCTGCAATCAACTGGAGGAAAAGATCAAAGGCAGGCTTGATAAGAATCTAAAACCATCGATCGACCTGCAAAGCCAAGCGGATTCGTTCATGGGCATTGCGTCTGCTGCGGTTCGGTGTCTGGTGCGGATGGTCGAAGTCGATTTAGAGCCCTCCTGGCGTGAAATGCGCAATACTCCATGGAATCGACTGGAGAGTGTTAGCGATCAGAGCACATATGTCAGCGAGTTAATGACTAAGATGAATTCCAAGTCCACTGAGATCCTACAACTGCTGCACAAACAACAGTACGCTCGGGCTTTCGCAGATCACGTCGTGGAGCTGATATCAAATGTGTTTATTTCGAATATCTTCCACTGCAAGCCAATTTCCGAGACCGGAGCGGAGCAAGTAAGTTGTCACCCTTCAATTCATGTCATGTTAAAAGACGTACACGAAATACTAATCTCCGAATCTCAATAGATGCTCCTAGACGCATACACCCTCAAAACGGGCCTCTCTTCTCTTTTACCAGCCCCCGCTCCAGCAAGCTTTGCTAAGCGTGTTAACAACAGCTTCATGAAGATCGAAACTCTCCTCAAAACACTCCAAGTCCAACCATCACCCCCCGAGGCCCTGGTGCAAGCATACTTGATCCACATCAAAGACAGCAGCAACACAAACTTCCGCAAAATCCTCGACCTCAAGGGAATCCGCAGTCGACAAGAACAGAACCAGCTCGTGGAACTCTTCCAGATCCACCGCGCATCAGATCGCCACGCACCAAACCTCCAGCAAAGCAATCCCATCTTGACAGCCCTTCAGACCCCTGCAGCTGCGTCAAACCCTGTGTCCCAAGGCCTGGGACTCGGCACCGCCGCAGCATCAATCGGCGCTTCGAACCTCCCCACCCGCTTCGACCCGTCCATGCTCGGATCCGCCATCATCTCCGCCGCCAAAGACGGCGTCGATCGCTTCGGAACCCCTGCGAACCCTGGTGCGGGTGGCGTCTCTGGATTAACTCCAACGCCTGTATCGCCTGGACCGTTCGCACAGTTGCAGAGTGCAGCTGCAGAGAACAGTGCCTCGGCTAATCTGAATGAAAACTTGAAGAATATCGGGAAGTTCTTCCGCCGGGACCTAGGTGGGTTCGGGGGTCGATTTGGAAGGAGTGGTGATGATGGTAATTGATGTGATTTGATTGATCGGCTGGTCATTCCTGAGCTGTTGATATTTGATTTCGCGAGTCAGGATGCGGCTAGGTATGCTTTTTGATTCTTGTCGAGTATACCATTTTTCCTATAACAGAAGTATATGTTGCATTTACGTTGCGGGACTACATCAAAGAGGTGCAATGTATGATACCGAATATATGGCCTTTGTTTCATTTCATAGATGTTGCTAGCTAATAGTAACCCATCACCCCTAATCTAAGTCCGACCGACCAGTATATTCCATCTGCCACGGTAAGGACCGAAGAGGATCAAAGTCACGTAATGGCCTATGCACTACGAAATGGAGAGCTAGGATATTCGGCTACAAAATTATCCTATTATCACAGTTAGCAATCCATATTATTGGAAAAACGTGAAAGATAAAATAGTAAGGGAAGTGAGGCGGGTCAGCAAAAAATTAGAGTGTTTGTTGTTGCGTTTTTGATCTTCAAGGCCACGGCAGTGGCTACGTGTTAAAAATTATATCATCATCCGCCAAGGAGTGATTATGTGGTAGGGCAAGTAGCGTGAAAGAGAAAAAGAAAGATAGATGCTCACCTTAAGTCATTCAAAAGATAATGGAGCGTATCAACTACGTCCATATCTATTTGAAGAGACAACAAATCATGTTACCATGAGAATCGTTTCATTTTTCCAACGGTCGTTAAAGGCCGTAAATGTATCTAAAACATGGCAAGCGTATCCCGTTCAATGAGACGAGACGCTTAGTCGAAGAGACCGAATCCCATGTCGTCATCGGACTCCTCCTCTTCCTCCTTCTTCTCCTCAGCGGCAGGAGCACCGCCAGCAGCAGGAGCGGCAGCGGCAGCAGGAGCAGCAGAGGCGTAAGCGTCAGGGTTGGCGATACGGTCCTTGAGCTCCTCAATCTCGGGCCAGCTGATCTCGGTGGAAACAGCGACGGCCAAGACCTTCTTGTAGCTGTTGACAACGGAGTGGATGACGGAGGGAAGGGTGGGGAAGTTAGCGGCCAGAGAGATGGCGGTGATGGTCTGGATAGCGCTGGAGAAGGCCTCAAGCAGCTTAGACTCCTCGATGTCGAGGATTTCGGCACCGAAGGTCTGACCATCCTGGTAGACCTGGGCAATGCTCATACCATAGGTGAAGGGAGAGATGTTGAGCATGTTAAGCAGGGTGGCCTCGGAGGGACCGACCTTGGCGCCGGCCTCAACGAGCTTGAGATCAGTGGTGATTTCAATGGTACCACGAGCAATCTTGGTGGGGACACCAAGGGCCTGGAAGAAAGATGTCTTACCGGGTTCCATACCAGTGTTACCGGCAGGAATCCAGACATCACCAGGAGCAACAGCACCGGCACGAGCAGGGGCAGCGACACGGTTAGCAAGGATCTTCTCCTTGGTAGCCTTGAGGTCGCCGTTGGTGAAGATGAAACCAACGTTGCCTATATCCCAATTAGCCATTTAATCTATGCGCAAGTTGGCGCAATGCATTCTAACTACTCACCCTTGACGTGGGGAAGCAAACGCTCGTACTCCGGGTTGTCGGTGACGAAGCCCTTGATGGCACGGCGAACCTAGAATTATCGAGTCAATTGCTGCTCATATTGCTCGGACACGGGGATGTAACATACCATGGTGTTCTTACCCATCAGGACGACACCCTCACCACGGAGGGAGAGACGGATCTCGTGCATCTGCTGAGAGCTGACATTGTCGACACCGACAATGAAGACCGTCTTGTACTCATCAAGAAGGCTCTTCAGCTTATCGAAGTAAGCGGCCTTGGTAGCTGACTTGCCCCCCATGTCTCCTTATTTCGGTGAAGATAGGATGTTTAAGGGCAAGGGAAATTCTGGTGAAAGTTGGGCTGTCCGAAGTGAATCGTGACGTTGAAGATCGAAG